TTGGAGATTTAGTGGCTTAATGCTAAAGAATCCCTCTGTAATATCATAATCTCAAGCAAAACTTTGGAGGAAAGTTTTTCAACATAAGTCTATGAGGGCTCTCCTAACACGGCCTGTTGCAAATAAAACACAGCAGATCGTTTCAAATGGAAGAGACAAAAATGGAGAACTAGAATATGGTTTGACTATATATCATCCAATTATGCTTGCTTCAAGCCTCAAATTATCATGAGTTTAGTGTCATCTTCCTCTATGATTTTTAACCCACGTACCTAGCATCTGGCACATAGTGAGAATGTAATGAACGGCGCTGCTTGCTGCATTCATTACTATTAGAAGCAGTTGTAGTAATGGTGCAGCCCCAGCACCTGGCACAGTGCCCAGGAAACATTAACTATTCAAAACTATAATAATTATTTTTATATCTTTAGGGCCCCAGCTTCCGGCATACCGCCTAGCTCATAATAGGGAACTGAATGTGTCTTTTCCTTCATTTTCATTTTTGCCTGTATCTTCTCTTTCTCCTACAGTGGTGCCTTGGTAAGATGATCATAGAGCTCCAGAAAATGTTTACCCACCCTTTTCTTCTATTGTGGCCTCTTAAGAGGCAAGTGGAAAATGTTTAAGGTCATTTACTCAGTTGAAAAAACTGAGGTTATGAACTACATCCCTAATTCTAGTATTTTGCTGTAGCTTGAAAAGTAGCTTTCGCTGCTCTCCCCAACAATCTCTCAGCCAAGCCATGAGCAGTCTCATCATTGTGATCTTCCTCTCCGGAGAGAATGGCCCTCCCTTTTGTATATTTAATTCATCCTCCAAAGATTAGCACAAGAGTTCCTAGCTGAAACCTTTTCTCCAGCATCACAAAGCATCAAATTAGTGCCACCTACTTAGTACTTAACTCTGCTAACACCCAATTGGTTTTGTCCCTTAAATGCCTATAACTACTACCTGCCCTATTCTAGACCTGTGTGAGTGCTGAGGATACAGAGATCTACCCTCTTCATAGGAAGACAAATATGCAGTCAGCATCACTGAAGAAATGTGATCAAAGTACCAGTAGAGAATGGGAAGACTGGCTGAATTCCTGCAGGCACTGGGTAAAAGTTTTACAGAAAACAGAACTTATAGTTGAGGAGGTACTGAAACATAAGGAGAAGTTAGCTAAGTGGAGTATGTGGGATTATGCCCAGATGAGAAGAACTCGTCAGGAAAAAAAAAAAAAAAAAAAAAAAAAAAAAAACAATTTCAGAACACAGCTCACTATGGCTAGAATTTGAGATGGGGTGAAAATAGACAAGTATAAGGTTGTCTCATTTACTCATCGAGTGTCAATCAAGAATCCAGGTTGTGCCATTCACTGGATACATAGTAAAAAACAGGACCTTGTACAATTCTTACACTTGAGCTTTAAGGCTATTTGGAAAGAACAATTAACTGATAAGACAAATAAGTAGAAATTTTGGTAAGCATTAAAGAGGAAAAGGACAGGACCATAGAGAGAAAATATTAAGGGACTAATTTACAGGGGGTGATTAAAGGGCAGCTCTGGGGTGATATTTTTGCAGGAACTAAAAGATAGAAAGAAATAGTAAAAAAAATGATTTAATTAATTTGGGATCAGAGGTCTCACAGTTGGAAAAAAATCTTGGCATGGAAAAATCTTGGCATCACAAAAAATCAAAAGAATCATCATGGGGTTAAACATTTAAGATAAAGATGAGTAGTTTAAGAAGGGGTCAGAAAAGGAAACAGGAGCCAAGACGCTGCAGGCCTTATAAAGAGTGTGGTTTCCATTGCAAGAATAGCAGTAGGGGCTGAGGAGATGTTCGGTAAGTAAAGTGCTTTTCACACCAGCATGAGAACCTGGGCTTAGATCCCCAGGCACCCACATCAGAAAAAGCTGAGCATGAGAGTCCACGTGTATAATCCCTGCACAAGGCAGGCAAACATAAGACCTTGCTGATGGGAAAATCTAGCCAAATTAGTGAGTTCAAGGTTCAGTGAGATACCAGGTCTCAAAAGATAAGATGGAAAGCAACAGAGTGAGAATCTGATATTAATCTTGGGCCTACACACACACACACACACACACACACACACACACACACACACACACACACACGAGAAATCATGAAAGATAAGCAACATGGAATGAGATTTGTGCTTCATAGGACAAATTAGTGGCAGACTAGATGTGGAGGAGAAAAATTGGAGTCAGGCTGATTAGGAAGTCCAACATGTGGCAGCGGGTGCAGGTGAAAAAGGGCCGAGGCAGGGCCTGTTCTGCCATCTTCCCCACCACCACAGTGATTAGCAGAGTTCTGGGCACACTGCAAGCACCCAGTGTGTTTCCATCAAGTAAGTTATGGTAACAAAAGCCTGAGCGCTCTTGAGTGTTTTTTTTTTTCCGGAGGGGGGTGGGGGTTGTGAGGGCTCACACTCTTCTCTGCTCCCACTTTCTGATGACAACATGGAGAGGGAGTCTAAAGTTAGTATTATCGAAGTCATACTCTGTTTACTGGTAAGTGCTTCCTCTAGGTGCCGATTTCCATTAGACTCTGCCAAATTCTTTGACAGTAGTTGTTCTAGCTTTCTTTCGGTTGCTGTGATAAACACAACTAAAAAGAAGGTGGTGAAGAAAAGGCTCAGTTGTCTTGCACTTCTTGATCACTGGCTGTCAGGCAGGGCAGGAACCAAAACAAGTACAGAAGCAGAAAACGCGGAAGAAGCTTATTACTAGCTTGCTCCCCATGACTTGATTAGCTACTTTTCTTCCTTCCTTCCTTCTTTCCTTCCTTCTTTCTTTCCTTCCTTCCTTTCTCTCTTTCTTTATTTCTCTCTCTCTTTCTCTTCTCGAGAGAGGGTTTCTCTGTGTATCCCTGGTTATCTTGGAACTTACTCTGTAGACCAGGCTGGCCTTGAACTCACAGAGAGAGAGAGAGATCCACCTGCCTCAGCTTCTCAAGTGCTGGGATTAATGGCATGCACCACCCCCACCCAGTTTCAGCTATTTTTCTTACGTAGCCTAGGCCCAACTGCACATCACCCACAGTGAACCACACCTTCTTAAAGTAACCAGCAATTAAGCCAGCGTGATAGAGGCCAGCCCTCAGTTGAGGATCCCTCCCACTTCAGGTGACTGGCGTCTGTGTCAATTTGACAACACACTAGTGAAAGACATAGCAGAGTTTCTCTAGAGAGCCAAACAGCACCTTCTCTTCTGAGAGCTGGACAAAGAAAGAAAGAATTTGTCATTTGGGCATGTTCAGGGCAAAAGGCAGCCAACAGTCATCTACAAATGCTAACTTCCCGGATCACAAGGACATGAATTGCAAATGCTACCTGATCTAATATATGCTTCTCACCCTGCCAAAGCAGGGATGTAATTACCTGAAAGAGTGAAGTTAATGTTTGTGGAAGTTCCACGACTTCTCTTACATCCAGGAGATGAGACGGGGGCTTTGTATTACACTTCCATTTACTTCCACCATTGAAATGGCTCCTCAACAAAAAGTACTAAAATAAGGCCATCTTTACTCAAGAGGGGTTTGGAGAACTTGAGGAGAGAAGAGCCAATCAGCTCATGGATCTAATCTTTTTTCTCCCCCTTGAAAAGGATCATCATTCTTACCTTGGAAAGACAGTACAAGTAGTCAGTGAGGAATGTGAGGGAATTTTGATCTGCAAATTGCAAAGCTCTACCTTGCGATTCATTCTGTATGATTAAAGGCAAAGGTACTTTTATTTTCTTGGTCTTCCAGAGGAAATGTGAATGCTTTGTAGGAACTCAGGAAAAATCTATTTAGTTTTCACCGTACAATCAGTTCTATTAAGTGTGATCTGACCTTGGCTCTGGCACAAACAAAACAGACCATTCATTTGTCAGAATTAAATCAAATTGATTCTCCAGTCTGTTAGCTTCAAGGTTTGAAGTGGTAGCAGAAATCAGGAGTGGCTTTAGGGAGTGAGTCCATGCTCATCTTTTGCAGATGGTGTTGGCTTATTGGAGTCAATACTTCTCCAATGACCACAATCAAGGAGGACAGCGACAGCAATGCTTAACACACACACACACACACACACACACACATATATATATATGTATATATATATATACATATATATATGTGTATATATATATATATATATATATATTCCCTTTTACCTTTTGTTAAATACATGGTCTCATGTGTCCTAGGCCAGCCTAGAACTCACTATGTGGCCAAGAATGACCCTGAACTTCTGATTCTCCTTCCTCTACACTCTGAGTGTTGTGATTGCAAACACACACACATCCAGCTCAGGTGGAGCTAAGTATCAAGCATAGGGTTTTGTGGATGCCAGACAAGCATTCTACTAGGTGAACTATATTACAAGCTCCTAAAATAGTACTTCAGTCTGAAATGTACATCTGAAACAGTGGCAAATGTAAGCTTGAAAATTCAATTATGAAAGACTCACAGGCCCCAGAGACCAAATTAAACTGGTTCTAAGTGAGCAGCAACTTAATGCCACTGATCAGAAGTATTACCATGGATATTTTCAGCCGTGGAAAGGAAGGAAAGGACAGTGTAAACTGTGTTTGTGTCTTAGGAGATTTGGTAATATATAACTCCTTTAACCATCCAAGTAGCTTTTCAAGGTAGGAGTTTTTCTCTAGCATGAGACTTGGTAAGCACTAGATGATAACTGCTAATGGTATTTAAATGGATAACCTTAGGAACAAATGTGGTAGATGGTTTGAGTAACTTATCCAAGATCACAGAGATGCTAAGTGTTAGTGTTCAAGCCCAAGTCATTCTGACCAAAACCTGGGCTTTTGCTCCTCTTCTCCTCAGTAACAGGGAAACACTGATGTCATTCAGACAATTTGGGGTTTTGAAATCCCATTAGAAATGGATTAATAAGTGGCCATTTGAAACCTTCAGGTAACTAAAACTATCTTTCATCTTCCTCTCTCTCTCTCTTTCTCTCTCTCTCTCTCTCTCCACACTTAGCTTTCTAAATTGCTATGAACCATGGCCCAGCTGTACTACAAAAAGGTCAATTACTCACCATACAGAGACCGTATCCCCCTCCAAATCGTGAGGGCTGAGACTGAGCTCTCTGCTGAAGAGAAGGCCTTCCTTAATGCAGTGGAGAAGGGGGACTATGCCACCGTGAAGCAGGCACTGCAAGAGGCTGAGATCTACTACAATGTCAACATCAACTGCATGGATCCTTTGGGCAGGAGCGCCCTGCTCATTGCCATTGAGAACGAGAACCTGGAGATCATGGAGCTACTGCTGAACCACAGTGTGTATGTGGGCGATGCATTACTCTACGCCATCCGCAAGGAAGTGGTGGGCGCTGTGGAGCTTCTGCTTAGCTACAGAAAGCCCAGCGGTGAGAAGCAGGTAAGAGAATTCCCAATAGGCTGAAAGCAGCCACAATACCAGGGCATCAGAGTTCCAGGGAAAGGTTCAGCACTCCGGAATCGAGAAGCCCTGTCTTAAAAACTGTTATCAGTTGGCTCAGGAGCTGCCCTGGGCAATCCCTGCCAGTTTACTCTTTTTTTTTTTTATTTCAATTTTTTTTAAAGGAGTGAGTTGTGGGGGGTGGGAGGTTAAATGATTTATAGAAAAAAAACTGTGCTAGAACTAACTTATCCATCATGATCATCCTCATCTTCCTCATCTGATTTACTCTTTTGTGTTGTCTTTTGTTCTTAGTTACTCAAACATACCGATACTTCACAGTGCAAAGGCATGTTCTTCATATTCACAATATGGAGAAATTTCCTTCCCCCTACTCAAATGTTACCCTCTACCAAAGAGACCAAGCGCAGACCCACACTTTCTCCTGGGAGGCTTTTCTTCCACAGACAGGACAGGAAGACTTTAGCCTTGAGTGCCATGGTGCTAACAAAGCTAGAAACCTCACTCATTTTCCTAGTACATGCTATGTCATTGATATCTCCTCATGGGTGTTTGTGAGTTTGCTTCTATGGGTCTCATAGTCTCTAAGTCACAGAAACGTGGTGTCTTTGATTTCGCAGTCAAATCTGACACCCATGTTCAATTCCTAAGCCCTATGGTTTCTCCCTTCCTCTCTCTGTCCTCTCGAAGCCTGTTCTCACTAGTATTGCCTCTTCTGTCATCACTCTCCTAAATAAGAGGTTCTCAAAGTACATCCTCTAGACTGACAGCAGCAGCATTTCCTGAAAAGTTATGAAGAATGCAAAGGCTTAGATCTCCACTACAGTGGTACTAAATCATAAGCTCTGGGATGTTGCCCAATAAGCTGGGCCTTAACGGGCCCTCAAGGGGATTCTGATGCATCGCTGTCCTACACTGACATGAAATTTTTTCTCATTAGTCTCCCTGCATCAATTCTTTTTGCAGCTCCAAGCCATCCTGAAGTGTCTGGCTGGCTTGTCCTTTCTAAATTAGGAAAATGATCTTATTATCCCTGCCCATACCTTTACTACTACGATGTTTTCTATTAGTTTGTCCCCCATTGTTAGCAGAAAACGTTTGAGGCAATGGACTTTATAAAGCACAGGCTTGTTTTGATAACCATGTTTTAGAGGCTGGATGATCAAGATAAGGTGGCTTATCTGATAAAACTCTGATAGGGCCTTCTTGCTTACATTATCGGCATGGTGAAGAAATTGGTATGGAATTGGTCAAATATAGGAGACAAATCAGCATCTTGATGAACATGGAGACAATCATCCTCAAGTATTATGAGATATGGCCAAAGCTGGGTGTGAAAAAAATCTTCAGCTTTCAATACTGACTCATTTGGGAAATAAGCAATGAAAATAAATTAAGTGACAACTCACAAAGTATTGGAATTGACAGAGTGGAAAATGGAATGAAAATCTGAAACTGGCAGATTAGCAGTTCCTTGAGTAAAAGGCATAAACCCCCTTCCCCATCAGCATTTACAATGCCCAAGGAAGTAAAGATTCCATCTCTCTTGCCCCTTGCTATCTTACACTACCAGCGCAACATACGTGATAAATATTTATTCAATGAATAAGTAATATGCAACCAGAACTGAGCTTTGCATCCTAATATGACATACTTCATTTAACCCTCCAGGGACCTCTATAAGCTAGATAATATCATCATCGTTTATTACTATTATTATTGTCATCATCATCCCTGTTTGTCAGTAAGAAATAAGATTATTAAGTCAATCGTTTAAGATCACACTAAAGTTCGTAATCATTTTTAATCACTAGGATCAGATCCCACAACTGAAGCAGACTATTACAAAATGTTTGGCAACAAAGGCTGGAGAGGGGGTTCATTGAGTACATGTATTGCTCTAGCAGAGGATCTGTGTTCAATTCCCAGCAACTAAGTTGGGTGTTTTGTAATCATCTGTAACTAAGCTCCATGATATTCTATGCCTTTTTTTTTTTGTCTCCACAGGTGCCTGCACTTGTGAACACAGACACATAGACATACAAAGACACATAATTGAAAATAATTACATTAGTCTTTTAAAAGTCAGCAACATTAAAAGGTGTCTAAATGCACAGCAAACAAAACGTGATTCAGACTCACCACATGCAGTGAAATCTCAGTTGTTCCTGGCAATGTTCATTCATGATGTTTCTATCACACAGCCTCATTGCAGCCTTGGTTCTGAATACACAATATGCACCCTTTACATTGCACACACTGGCACTATATACAATGTCAACGACACTTGTCAGCTTGGGTTTGAGACTATTGACTAATATGAACTACAGTGCTTTTATACATACCAAGTGTTATGATATTGCAGAAACATAATGGTATAATTATGGAAAACAAATACTCTTAATATTTTTCTTGTAATCCCTAAGCATGTTAAGTATTAAATTAGTTTATCTTGGGATTAGATTGCTAGGATGTTGATATTAAAGCTGTTCACTGAGTTATTTCATAAAAAAAAGTCAGATAGTGAAATTTAGCTTGGGATTAGCTCAGAATGTCCAACAATTTCTTAAATAGGATTCTTAAATAATTCTGCAATTCATACTATCTGGTTATATATAGCAGCATTCTTAGCACTGATGATTATAAAGTTAAAACATTGTTCAACTCCAAAAATCACTGAAAAGGATCTACACCCTGTGGTATCAAATATTCAAGATTTAATTATTTGTATAAATATAAGCAAGCACATTCATCTCATTACTATGCAAACCTGGTCTCATCTTTAATAAAATAAATCTAATAATTGTTTCAGACTAAAATTTGTTAATGATCTAGTATCAGTAAATGTTTAAAATATGTATGCCTATCCTATATACCCATACACCTGGTTTAGATAAAACTTTCTTGGGTGAAAAGGGGTTGTAAGTGGATAAAATTTCAAAAGCCATACACTAGGACACATTACTTCACTATAAATCTTAGGATCCTAGCACAGAGATTATGAGAAAAGTCAAATGAATAGAAAATAGATGACCTCCCTAGAAACAACAGGCTTAAGAGATTTAGAAGAGAAGTTGAGTTTGTTTCCTATTCAGTCCATCTTACGAAACTCATCAAAACTGATAGGTTCTGTATCCCACTCTGCCCAGCTAAGCCCCTGAAGACATTCTCAACTATGAACCTCTAAGTTCCTGTACTACACTGGCTCTTTCGCTTATTTGAAATCAATCTCACAACACCTTGTACTAGTGGGTCCCCTCATTTCTAGCAATACCTAGTCCTCTTAACGTGCACCAAAAGCCTGATGCCCACTTCTTTCCATACTGTCTTAGTTAGGGTTTCTACTGCTGTGAAGAGACACCATTACCATGGCAACTCTTACAAAGGAAAGCATTTCATTGGGGCTGGCTTACAGTTTCAGACGTCAGTCCATTATCATCATGGTGGGACATGGTGGCATACAGGCAAACAGGGTGCTGGATAGGAGCTGAGAGTTCTGCATCTGGACCAGCAGGCAACAGGAAGTGATCTGTATCAGTGGGTGTAGCTTGAACAAAGGAGACCTCAAAGCCCACCCCCACAATGACACACTTCTTCCAAAAAGGCCAGACCTACTTCCACAAGGCCACACCTCCAAATATTGCCACTCCCTTTGGAGGCCATTTTCTTTCAAACCATCACTCGTGCTTACACTCTCCATACTGAACCAGTACACACTTGATAAGGAGTGCCTTACAAATATTTTTGGAGAACATGAAGGAGTTAAAGATATCTTCCAGGAAAATCACAAGACTTTCTTTCAAACAAGACTTTTGGAGGTTTTGTAATCGATCGCACTTAGCCTCCTTACTGTTTAGAAGAAGAGAGCACAGGACAATTTCCTAGCTGGGTGGTGAGTGTATACTGAGTCCAGGTTTTGTGGCTCTCACTCGCTCATGTATACCTGTGCTCTATAAATGCTGGGGATTTGCCAGTCAGGAAGGGACCATGGAAACTTATACTAAAGTACAAGTTGATGCGACCTCTCCTTGGCAGAAGCAAAACTTAACTCATCAAAACAAACTGCTCATGTTACAAAAATCAGACACATGAAACCCAGGCTAGGCTAATTGTGTAGTCTGAGTTTTGCTAGGACCTTTGGTCATTACCATTATAATACCTCCTTTGTCAATTTTCCACTATCATAAATAAATACTGTATCTTAAACCCCCACAGAGCCGTCAGCTCCATCCTCAAGTCTCTTCGGGAGCTTTGTTCTCTCTGCCCCAAGTTCAACTCTGAGCTTCTACTATTTCATTGTCTTCCATTATTCTGACAGTTGCTATGATAAGTCATATGTGAGCAACCATAATACTATGCTGTCATAGTGCTAGAGAGCCCCGTCTTTCTTTGAGATAAAAACAAGATTTGTTTACCTGGAAGCAATTGGGTATATGAGCAAAATATGCCTCCTAGTGGGCCTTGAGTTCATCTGGGTATACCATTTGCAGGAAGGTACCCCTTGCACACACAATCTGAAAGACAAACCTTTTCACAGAGCTGCCACCACCACCACCATCACCACCACCTGCCCTTCATCTCTCTAGAAAATGAGGCACAGCTGACTTCCATCAATCCTGAGACGATAAAGAAGGACCATCTTCTGCACTAGTAGGCAAGGTCTTAAGTTCCATGCTGGCAGCAAAATCCCTCTGCTCCTCCTTCACCCCAGTCCCCCTATGCTCCTCCCCTTACTCAGCTATATTAAAAGTACTTTACAATAATGATCAGAGACCCAGCATAAATGGTTGTTATTGGATTCTAGTATCAGCATTCACATAGAGACCTGAATTTTCAATAGGAATAAAATCTTCAAATAAAAATTGTTACATCTTATCTGGTAGACTCTCCACACCCAAAATGTATCGGGGAGTGCGTGCCTGCCTGCGTGCGTGCGTGCCTGCGTGCGTGCGTGCCTGCGTGCTTGCGTGCCTGCGTGC